AGATACACAGCTGCCACGGTGGCGAGATGTTAACTCTCTCGCTTGTTGGTTCAATCCCGACCCTGATGCCTGTATATTTGGAGTTTGCATGTTCTCCCCGTGGTTGCATGGGTTTTTTCCCCGGGTCATTCGGTTTTCCCCTCCACATTTAGAATCAATATAATGCGTTTCGAGTATTTGGCTGCTTTACATTTCCACACGATGAGGCACTTCGTAGAGCTATCATTTGTGGCCAGACCACTTCTGAAAAAGAGCCACGTAGCTGAGTGGGCCATACCTGGTAAAATAAAAAAATTGTTTAGTTTGATGTACAGTGTGCACCCTCCCTCAGGCAGCACTTTGCAGTCCTGAGCCGGCCGTGCAAAGTCCACATTCCCCTGACAGGGACCTGTCTGTCCCTAGATAGCTTCCCAACAGAGCGGTACTCGGTATTTTAACCTTGGAAGGGTGATGTGGTAAGCCGTAGCAGAACCACCGTTCAAGGGGATTTTGAAATTCGGGGAGTTTGGGTGCATCGGTCGCTTGTTGTGTACCTGCCAAGTCCGTGCGTGCTTCCTCACAGGTGGCTGTGGCCATTTTAGCGGCGATTTGCCTCGCCGCGGCCGGCAGGGAATTGGGGAACGTTTTGTCTTCCAGCCACACAAGTAGGAAATGTTTTGCACTTAATCCGTGGCGATCATCTTCCATCCGCTGTGCACTGCTGGATGCAAGTGTTCCACTTGTTATTGATGCAGCTTTTTATTTGAATTGTTATTATGACTCTTGCAATACCCAGGAGCCTCGTGACTTGTTCAGGAGGGTTACTGCCACTCGCAACAGGGAGACATTAGAGCGCTATGTTTATTTTAATTGAGTTATTTGCTCGGTATTTTTTTGTTTGGATCATGACACACAATGCGCCTCTTGCGAATTGACGCCACATGATTCACAGCGTTCACCGTGAAGCGTATCTTTACGGTTAAGGCGCACCGCCGTATTCCTATGATGTCTATTTTTTTTGTAACCAGGTAAGGCCCACCTAGCTATATAGCTCTTTTTCAGAAGCAACCTGGTTATCACAAATGATAGCTCAACAAAGTGACTCATCATGTGGAAATTAATTTATATCAGCCAAATACTGTAAATGCATATTAATTATAAATGTGGACAGTTTATTCATCCACGTCGTGTGTATGTGTGTGCGGAATAAGTGGTGAATGTAGTGGTGATGCACGCTGCGCTATAATCTCAGATCACCAGGTTTGATTCCTTTCGTCGTCTGAGTACTCGGTGCAGTCTGTGATCATTTGCACTGGGGAAACAAAGGTGGGTAGGCATGCACGGTGCTGTTTGACACCACTGCTTCTATTGCTATACCGGCCTTAGTCGGTGCTTGCTAACAACGCTTTCCCCAACAGTATCTGCAGCCAAGGAAGAATCTGTATATCTGTGTGTTTGCTTGAACGGCTGCTGTCTGTGTATACTTCTGCGAGGCTTAAAAAAGAGATTATTCTTAAATTCGAAAAAGTCTGGTTAGCTCGTCCGCAGGCCCTTCTCCGGGAGACGGCGTGCGCTGCCGTGCGAGTATTCGGAAAGGATTCTTTGCCTTACGACGTGATGGCCAGATAAGCAAACTCGGAAAGCCTTGGGGGAAGGGGCGTGAAAGCGATGGCCCATTTGAGAAGTTGTGGTCTCATTGAAAATTGACTTGTGCCGCGCGGTGCTTGTGTAGGACTAGAGCAGCGCTTGTAGGGAGAATCTCGTCTTTCACACGGAGAACGTTCGTGGAGGGGCCCTGTACAGAGGTTTTCTTCGGAGCACCTCCCGGAACGAGCAGGGCACGTGCGCACCTCTGCCGGCCCGCCGTTCGATATTTCTCTCACGACTGCACGAGCGCTCGTCTCAAATTGGGAAAGTCGCGACTTCAAATCCTCGTCAGGGTTTGAACACTCTCCTCCTGCTCAATGCGGCGAGGAGACTCACTGCGGCAAGTCGGACAGCGGTCGTCGCGTGAGCAGCAACGGCCGCGTGTCCCACGGCTGCAGAAATTTCCAGTGCCGGCTGCGGGGCCGCCGCTGGAGGTGAGCGCGCCGCCAGCTCGCTCGGCCGAGCGGCGCGACTCGGCGACGTTGGCCCGTGAGCGGCGGCTTGAACGCTGCGCCGCTCGCTGTCAATGGGTTTGACCCCGACAAACGCGAGTGGAGAGGCGCCTCGGGGGGGGGCGAGCGTACGGCGGTGACGATGTCGTTGTTGCGGTGTGACCGTGATGCCCCCTAGAGCCGGCACCGCGCAGAGCCGGCCACGGCCCGCGACCGCTGCCCATTCAGCCCCCCACCCACCGCTGGCCCCATCAGTCACGTGACGTCAACGCTGACATGTTTGGTTTAAACGTGGCAATCTTGCCGGGTGGTGGAGGGTTAATGACAATAATTTTGGCATAAACTACCACGTGGTCCATCCCAAGATGAATAGGGATAGTTAGTTGAGCTTGTTTAGTGTTATGAATAAGAATTACCTGGAATAACTATAAAGAGAACTGTAACAAGTTCTGGCGAGAGGCTAATTTTCAATGCAAAGAGACATTACGCAACTATTTGCAATGTCGCACTTGAAGTGGCTATACGTGGTATTGCAGCTCACGTTGATGAATGATATCCCTTGAGTCGGAGTTCATTGTGGACTGTGCCACGCATAAGATGCATGCTCTCTTTTCAGTTTGCAACGTTCTGGCATAATTCAGTGCGCTGTGTAGCAAACATGCCCCTTCATTATTGTTACCACTCTCTCTGCAATGTTCAGCCACACATGCTTTCTACGTCAGAGGAGCTATGCTAAGCATAAACAAGGATAGACACTCGAATACAGCGGTACTGTTCATGGCTGGGTGCTTGTGGTTTAGGTGCTCGACTCAGAATTGTAAGGTTGCAAGCACAAAGCCTGGATGGAGATCTGATCAGCCTCTAATCCCTCTGCTCTGGCAGAGATCAGTCTCTAGGAACAACGACTGCTGATTTTGCAGAGACGATAGCAATGTGGAATATTCACAGGTTCGAGGATACCAACCAGAGCTCCCAGTGAGTGCTGCCCCATTGCTTTGTGAGTAGGAGACACTTGGTGACCCTCAACCCCCCTCCGATAGGCTCACAGTGATGACATCACCTTCACTGCCCTCAATTTAAGAATGACATGAGATAACTTCTTAACAATTCTAGCTCATCGCCCGATGCTGCTGGTTGTTGTTTGTGTAATCACTGGCAAAACGTCACAGCACTCGAATTGTTAACGTGGGGTTACTCTCCAACTCACCGGTGTGTGTTGAAGCGGTAACTAATGGACACGTTTTGTTTACGTGACAAACCTTACTCATTGGCTGTGTTGTCGGGTGGCGGTGGGTTTAACGACACAACATCTATATTTACGCAATCTAAACCTAACAAAAAGCTCCCCCTTTACTACGGACCCTTGGGCTTTTCACTTCTGGCAGCAGACACCACGCGCTGTGGCAGTTGCTTCAAATTTTCCCCGTAGCTTGAGGTTGCTGCACCTATGGACGCACGCTGCCGGCAGCAGCGAGCCTCAGCCACGTGGGGAGTTGTTACCGTGACAGGGCTCCTCCGAGCGGAGTACTAAATGGGCTAACCACTAACCAGAGACATCGGGGCGGTGTGGACGGCCGGGTGGAAATAGTCAGCGGAGATGTCGAGAGCGAATTGTAAGCACGTGTGCCGAGGCACCGGGAGACGCATCGCTGGGACACCACCTCCCACTGCCGTGCTTCCTGTAGGGGGTGAGCGGGTGTGTACGTGTGTGTGTGCGTGCGTGTTGGGAGCGGTAGTGCAGCGCTTAGCGCGCTGCGTTATGAACCCGGCGACCCGGGTTCGATTCCCGCACACGGCCAACGCCAGTGACCATTATCTGAACCGGTCCTAGGCCTCCCTTAGGTCGACTCAGCTTCAAATGAGTACCTGGTGCAGTGTGTAAACATCGCCACTGGGGAGACAAAGGCGGTCGAGCGTGGTGCTGGCCACCCACCCACCCCCTTGGGTGCCGTTCCAGCCTTCATAGGTGCTCGCTAACAGCATTTGGCCAAACAGTCTGTTAAGGCTATACGGGGAATCTTTGTGCGTGTGTGTGCGTGCATAATCCCTGCCACCAGCGTCAATCGTTAGCTATAATGTGCACTACCAGTGGCAAGTGGTGTTGTGAACCTGTCCTGGGCCTCCATTAGGTAGGTTCCACCGGCAATCCGTACCATTCGAGGTGGAGACAAACTGGATAAGGTCATACCTGCCAGACCATCCCGTCGTGTGTACTGGCTGACTTAATAGGCGCTTGCTAACAATAGCACGACCACAAATTCGTGTAAAAAAATAATGGATTTTATGTTTGTGTTGCGCATACATTGATGTTCCCAGAGCATTGCTCCCTGCCGTGTGCGTGCGTGTCTACGTGTGTGCGTGCGTGGTAGCGAGGGAGTTCCATGGCGGAGATGCCTGGCACACATCTAAGTGTAAATAAAGTGCACATGGGTGCTGGCTTGTGTGAAACAAGCGCTGCTGGCTCCGTTACAGACACTGGGAAGAATGTGCACATTAGAATGGTACTTGCTGACGATTGCACATTTTGGTTCGATGATGGTCTTGTGCCGATTAAGGCACATGCATCATTCCTTGTATGTATACCTCCCGTGAGTGTCGGTGTGTGCGTGTGCAAGGAGCAATGGCGTCGTGATTTTCTCACTTCCACCGCTGTCTGGCAGCCCATTTTTGAACGTTGGCCATGCACAACATTCGTGGAAATTTGCGTCTGTACCTGGTTTCTGTCCCGAGATGAGTACCTCATGTGGTGTGAGCAACGCATGACCAACGCAGAGATCAAGGCAGCCGGGCTTGCTCGGTTATTGCTCTCGCTGTGCCCTTGTGCGCCATGTCGGCCGTAGGCTTTCGCAAACCGAAGCCGCCCTTGGCGGACGACGGCTAACGGAGCGGGGGTCTCTTGTTGCCGTGTTTCTGTGTGTGCAGCTGGCGTCGAGTTTGTGCAGATCCTCGTGATCGTGTCGGTCGCCGTGGTGATGGTGCTGGTCATCACCTGCATCCTCAATCACTACAAGATCTCCTCGTCCTCCTTCATGGGACGACACATGCACAGGAGGCGCAGGGACCACCCCTGCACGGTACGCCCACTCGCCCACGCATCTTGTTGCACGCACGCTCACACGCTCGCTCGCTCGACCGTTCACTCGGTCGCTTGCCCATCCTGCCGCCTGCCATTTACCCAGCGGTTCACTTGCCCGCATGCAAGCTCACCCATCCTCGCTGACTCACTCGCTTGCTCGCCCCTTCGCCGCTGGCTTTGCCACCTGCCCGCTCACCCACTATCCCCCCCACTCTCACTTGCCCTGTTGCCCACTTGCCCGCGTGCCCGCTCTCTTGCTCAATCGTGTTGTCAGCCATTTATGATGTGTACTCATACAGGAGTGGTTGGGCATGGTGATCATCTCTGTGGACTCGGTTGATGGTGGGCTTGATGATGCATCATGCTGAGATCAAGGGCACGAGTCACCCATCCGTAGAGCGATCAAAAGTGTTGCTTGTACGAGGCAGTAAAGCAAGTAGGCAGCTCACCAGCCTATGTGGAGATTAAGTGTTCCTCTCCTCTGTGTGTGTGACAGATTAATCTTGGCGCTCAGGTTTCCTCCCACGGTGCAACATTCTCTCATTAGAAAGTGACCAGAAATTCCAAGTAGGACCTCCTGGAAAAAATAGTGAGAGTCAATGAGCGTTTATTCAACCGTAGAATGATTTATTATTATACGAGTGTCATTTTACCATTTTAAAATTATCTTTATTTTGTATCTGTATGTAAGTCAGCGGTGGCCTTTAATTTAATGTATTAATTCAGGTATGATTCGGGGGTCATTGTTTTGCACCAAGACGCGAAAGCAATATGAGGGTTTTACCACCACCTACTAGCCCAATAATTAATAGCGATTAAGGAATAAAGTGACAGTAATAAATATCCTTTACAGAATTCCCTCTGAAGTGAAGCCTCATACCTCGACAGGGAACGGTGCAGCACGAGTCTCGCCCATCGCTACAGGCCTGTGTGCGGCCCATCATCCTTTAAATGCGCGTGTATTACCCTAATTAATTAATCAAACAATTAAACTATTTAAACAAATGTTTTATTTTACCAGGTAAGGCCCACTGAGCTGTCTAGCTCTTTTTCAGAAGCGACTTGGCCACCACAAATGATAGCTCAACGAAGTGGCTGTATCATGTGGAAATGTAGAGCAGCCACATACTTTAAACGCACGGTGTTGATTCTCAATGTGGAGGGAAAAACCGGAAGACCCGGAAAAAAATCCATGGGATCACGGGAAGAGAGAGAGAGGGACATGCAAACTCCAAATATACATCAGGCGGCAGGGTCGGGATCGAACCCACGAACTCCTGTGTACCAGGTGAGGTAGTTAACATCTCCTAGCCACCGTGGCGCCAGCACGCAGATGTAAAGCGGTGGCGCTCTGTTCCAGAATGACGAAGAAGCTCTCTTGACTGCCGAGTCTGGCCACGTTAAATCTGAAGCCAGAGTTTTACCTTGGGTGTTTGGTGCTGTCGTCAGTGACCGTGTTGGGAACATCATACCCCATATACACGACAATCTGCTTTAACCTCAGCATCAGTTGTTGCTTCTTCTCATCCGTGGCCATGGCCATTATGAGCCCTCTGAGCCGCCCGGCTTCCTCGGGGTTCATGCCTTTATGGTGCTTCGATGACAAAATGCCGCCGGGAATAAATATTGAATTAAAAGCGTCGAATAGAACACCAGTCAGCATCTCTCCTGTGTGCATTTACAGGGACGGAGTCTGTGTCCCTCAGAAAGCCCCGTGCCCAGACAACAAAGCACTTCACAGGTAAAGTCCCTCGAGGCGTTTCCTCGCCAGCAGCGTTCGCGCCATTGCTGTGAGGCCCCACGAGCCTTGTGCTGTCCTTCTGACGTGGCAGCAATTTACCGTCGTAAAAGTATGATACCCTCATTGTTCGTCGAGTGACGCAACGAGCCTAAGCTAAATATTGCAGTGACGTAAAGGCTCATCGTACAAGTCTGACCTGTCCGCACGTGCTCACGCAGCTGATGTACTCGTCCCAATCGAGGGACAGCATCGCAGCCTGCAGGCCGTCGCAGCACCAGCAGCATCACCAGCTGCAGCAGCAGCACCAGCAGCACCACCAGCTGCACCACCACCACCAGCACCACCACCACCAGCCGCAGCACTCGGCGATGGCGGGGAGCGGCGGCGGAGCGGCTCCGCGCGACCCCTTCCGCCGGCCGCCCCACCAGCCGCTCTACCCGTACAGCCAGGTGGAGATCGACCTGCCGCCCAGCATCTCGTTGTCGGACGGCGAGGAGCCCCCCCCCCTACCAGGGCCCGTGCACCCTGCAGCTGCGGCCGCCCGAGCAGCAGCAGGAGATCAACCGCGAGTCGGTGCGGGCGCCGCCCAACCGCACCGTCTACGACAGCGACTACTACGTGGCGCCGCCGCCCTGCGCCGCGCTCGGCGGCGGCGGCGGCGGCGGCGGCGGCGGCGCCGGGCCGTGCCCGCCCAGCAGCCACTCGGGGGTGTCGGCCGCCAGCTACGGGGGCCACGGCGGCCGCATGGAGGGGCCGCCGCCCACGTACAGCGAGGTGGTGGGCGCCGCGTTCCCGGCCGCGGGGCCCGGGAACGCGGCGCTGTTTGCGCCGCACGGGGACGTTGGCGTCGCGGGGCTGCTCACGGACAGGAAGCCCGGCAAGGGCGTCTGACGGCGGGCGAGGGGTTCACCCGTGGCCCCTTCAAACAAAACGAGAGAAATCAATGCCCACCGCCTCCCCCAGCACTTACGGAAAACATAAAAAGAAAAAATATATATATGATAATGCGGCTTTCGTTATTTTCTTTCGTTGCGTGTGTTCCTCTCTGTCGATGTTAAGTTTCGTGTTTTGTTATTATTATTTTTTCTCCGTTTGCCCGCTTGGCCACGGGACCAGTCAGCCATGCGTCCGTCTGTCTGCGTCGTCTGTCAGTGTTTCTGTGTCTGAGAAGACAAGCCCTTATGGGATCATATCTCACGTGCCCTATTTCTTTCCCCCCCCCCCCCCCCCCCTCTTTGGTTCCTTTTATTTTATCTTCTTAAGTGCTTACGCGAGTTTACCCGTGTGCACGTATCTGGCTGGCTGAATCTGCCAGTGACCCACTTTCTATTTGTCTACTCCTTAATGTCTTGTCTGCTCTGCAGGAAGGCGAAAGAGGGAGAGGGATTTGGGTGAGGTGGGGGGGGGGGGGGGCAAGGGAGAACGTGAATATTTTTTTGTACACCGTGGGCTGGTGGCGGGGGGGGGGGAGTAAGGGACGGGTGGAGGCGGGGGCGCCACTGCGGCGGCGTTCAGTGTCAAACACGAGCTCTCTTGTGAAACAAAGAAATGTGTGCTCCCGCCTTTTGTCGACCACCCGCCTCCCTTCTTCCTCCGGTCCGTTCCGCCTCCCCCCCCCCCCGACCAGTCCTCCCCCCCCCCACTCCCGACCCCCCCTCCCCCCGCTAGGGCGGCGCGCGCTCGGGCATTTCGGTGTGGAGGCAGCAGCCTCGCCCGGCGTGTTGTGACGAGAGTGACGGGAACGTAAATCTGGGCGGAAAGCGCCGGGCTCGGGGTGTTTTTTTGTGTGTGTTTGTGTGTGTGGGGAGAAGGGGTGAAAGAGAAAGGCCGAGGCAGCTGGACAGCCACAGGATTAGGAGAGGGAGAGAGCGGGAGAGAGGCAGCAGGGGAGAGGGAGGGAGCTTGAGATAGACGTGTCAGGAGAGGTTTAATCGGAAGCGAGGGGAGCGTGCGAGCCGCTGTTGAAATCTCTTGGATTTTGACTCTGACGGGAAGTTTGGTTTGGCACAGTCCCCATCTCCACTGTATTTTGAACAGACAACAGGGCAGGCCGACAGAGACACCACAGGGACAACAACTGGGAGGCATTCCCGGTGTTCCGCTCCGGCGATGTCAGTTTGGTTATGTTGTCGCACCGCGGCAATGGCGACGCTTCCAGAGCCAAGAGCGTGAACCACGCGGCGTCCGCTGCTCTCCTCTGTGGGGCCGGCCTCTAGCGGGTGGACAAACGCAAGAGTCCTGAACCGAACCCCGGCGTCTCGGCGTACGGAGCCCTCCTGGCAAAACTGTGACCTGATTGCACCGTTACCTGTTGAACTCTGGTCCCCACATGTCGAGTCCTGGCTACCGCACGTTGGCAATCAAGTTAAGGTTAGGGTTGTGCTTTGTAAGGTAAGCCTTCCGTGCTCAACCTTTGGAAGCACTTGGCTACACACGCGTGAACTCGATTTGGAATCTGCAATACATTTTACATTTAATCCTGGTGGGCAGAGGTATGTTAGTCTGTTTTGCTATATTAATGTTCATTTCACAATCGGAAGGGGTTTGAGTTGAAATTCTGGTCAGTGGATGATAACTCGGCTCATCGGCCTTCTGGGCGTCGATAAAGTAAATACCTCATTGTGTAAGGTCAGCGGTGGTTCAATCTGTGGAAAGGCTGGCATCTGCCACGGCAATTTGGAACGTCTACCAATGGCTCGGGGAACCAGCGTGAGTGAGTATCCACCACACTCATTTGAGCGGTGAGAGACTTTTAGTCAGACAGGAGGCCTCTGGAATTTGACATGCGGTGTCGCAACCTGATACGTGGCAGCAGTAGCCGGAAACGCCGTTTTTGTACGATAGCTGGATCTCGGCGTGCGATAAGCGATCTGTGCGATGGCCCCGATTTTGACAGGTGGTGGCCAGACACTTGAGAAAGCGGTTGTGTGACCTGGAGGAGTTGATGGTGGATCTAAGCATCTCCGCTCCCCTTCTGTGCGTGGGGTTTTTGTTTGGTTGCTCTTGCCGAGGGGACTTTCTCGCGTTTCACACCCCGCGGCGCACGCGGACTTGGTGCACGGCCACGCCGCTCGTCGCCGAGCGTTAAACGGCATTTGTTGGACTGCGTGAACACGTTCCGTACCGCCACAGAGGCAACCAGGTTTCCATGAGCGAGGTCTTACGCCGTTGAAGCGAATGTCACGGACACACGCATTTAAATCCGCCGGTGAATGCCGTGCGAAATTTGAGAGCCTTGCGAGAATCCTGCGGCCCTTTGCGTAAAGCAGCTTCGGTGACATTTTCCTCTCTAACCTTGCGCTGCGTTTGCACGACCAACGAAGGAGACATCTCACTTCGGCTGTTTAGCGTAACTCACCGGCGATGAAGGCAAACCCGAGTGGGAAAACTGGCGATTTTTTTTTTCGATCACACAGCCGGCTGTAAGCCAGTCGCACGTTGCCGGAAAGGTTCCTAAAGAGTTGAAACGGAATGCCGCCTCACACGATTGGTCCTCAAACTCGACCCAGAGGCCTCAGAACACCGGGATTCACGTCGCCTGCATTGCATCTGGAAGGGCGTTTCCCCCTCTTGGGGCGTTTGCACAGCAGGGGATTGAAGGTAGCAGCGGGGGGGGGGGTGCAGGGCACGTGTGATATAGCAGCAGGCAAGATCCCGATGCGACACTTTCTCGTTGGTCTTTGTTCGTGGGGAAAGGAAAAGTCCCCAGGAATATGTGAAACTAAACACAAGTTATGTTGCTGTTGTCGTCGTTGTTGTTGTTGTCGTTGATGAATGCCCCTGGAATGAAGAGCAGGGTTTTGTAACGGAACTGAAAATGCAGAACAGACGAAAACAAAGTTTCTTATTATTTTTGTTGTTGGAAAATGAAAATAAATGACAAAGAAAAGGGTCGAGGGAAGGGCACATTGGGTAGACGTAGCGACAAGATATGACTCCTCGCGGAGGCCCGGCCCCCGTGGTGCTGCTCCCCCTCGTGATCGGGTTCCCACGCTGGGGGTCACCACGCGGTATCGTCCTGGGAGGGGGAACGAGGGGGGAGCGACGCGTGACCGCCGCTCGCTACCTGTGCGTACGCACAAGCGTTCCTCGGGAGACGTATCTTCGACCCTTCAATTGAATCTGCTCCTGAAATAGAAACGATGATTGACGTTCGCACGACTGATGGAGATACGTTTTAAAACGGTGGAAACTTTCACTTGAGAGCGATAATTCAGCGGGGCTGTTGTTCACTTAACTCGGATGTATTCACGAACGTCGCTCGCTGACTTTCATTGGTTTTGATTTCTAAATAGGGAAATGTATCCATCATTGAGATTGATTCAGAAACCTTTATAATCATAAATCGTTCATACATTTCTGACTCGTCAAGAAGGGTCATGTTTTGTGCCATCCTATTGTAGCACAAACCCTGACTCACTGTTGTGATTCGTGTTCATAACTCCCCATTTTAATTTAATGAGCACGACACATTGTAAGCCGTCAGTTTTGAAACGTGACCGGAGATTCCTTGAGCAGGCTCCAACCGAAGCGGGTTTAGCAAAACGTCTCCCCCCCCCCCCACCGGCGATCACGTGACCAGGGCGGGCACCGCTGGATGGAGTGGGACAGGGCAGGTGCTGCGAACCTTTGGGGCCGAGCCGTAGCCGGGCAGCTGCACGTACGCAGCCCACACAGTTCCTGCTACGCTGCCTTTTGACGAACGATGTCGCCGCCGCCGCCGTCGCCGCAAGGCTCCGGGGAAGGTGGCGGTGAGCATGGTGGTTGGGGCGCGCCGCCGCCGCCGTGCAACGGGAGCGAGGCGGTACGACTGGTCGGGGTGCTGGGGAGAGGGGTTTGGGCTACGCTCGGATGCGGCGCTGACCACGAACTGGCAAGTTTTCTGCGCGACCAGTGCACAGAGGCAACTCTTTTTTTTTTGTTTGAGACGCGGCTTAAAAACGTAGCAGGAGGTCCGTCGCTTTAGACGGTGCGCCGGCATGTTGGTGCACGGTGCCATTGCCGGGGGTCGAACCCGGGTCACCGTCGCTCCGGGGTCGATAGCCGTGAGTTTCACGTTTTGGAAGTTGGCCGGAGTCGCCCGATGGAGAAATTGGCACCCATCCCCCTCCCAGCCACGGGACTTGCCCATCAGTGGCTCTGGCACACCAAGAGAGCGATGGGGCATTGTCCCATCGCTCGATCGAGCAAGCAAAGGAGACGCTTAATTTTTAAAGCTCTTGTTTATGTAAATGTATAAACACTGTTCTTTTAAAACAATTGAGACGCGTATAAGTAGCGGATGATGCACAGTAGATATTGGTTATGCGTCTAAAATCCTGTCCCAGTTGAGACTGGGAGAGGGGGGGGGCTTTCCCCGTGGCCCTGCTGGGCCAACGTTCTCTCGCCAGCAGCGTTTGTCCACCCAGGTCCGTGGTCTGATGGACTCAAGCATTACTCTATTTGTATCTCCTTGAGACAAACTCCGTGTTTATTGTATCCGCAATCAACAACGATAGCACATCCCGAGCCTCGTGTTTTACGGGGATAAATATTTAAACTGGTTTTAAGATTTTGCTTATTATGTTCCTGTCAAACCCCGGTCCTCGTCATTGAGCACCCTCTTCTGCTGTCGAGCAACCCGCTTGCCATGTGCACTCGCTCAGAGACGCGCCGTTAAAAGGTTCGCAGCTGCCTGACGACAAAAGCCATAGAGACTGTGCCCAGGTGCTATGAGCCAGAGAGGCGTTTGCTTGTTGTGGGGGGGTCTCTGGCCTTGTGTGTGCGTGTGGGGGGACCACGCAAACGCCGCAGCTGTAGGGAAAGGGATCGCGACGCTCCAAAGATTAACAACTTTTCTTGCGCCGCCCACCGCCTAACGGGCCGCCCACAGCCTCCGCGACCTGAGGCGCTCGCTTTTCGTTGCGCTCCTCGCTGCTTCACCGGTGCGTGCCCCCTCCCCCCGTGCCCCCTCCCCCCCGTGCCCCCTTCCTCCCCCGTGAACCCCCTCACCGTCTCCCCGCATGTCGAAGTGCTGCAGTTGAAGAACGCGGCGCTGC